TCAATTAAATTTGTTATGGATGTCAAGTACAGGTCAATGAATGTTTAAGATATTTGAAATTTTGATGAGATCATGTTCTTGAGGAATATCATAGGAAAACTTTGCCATAGACTTAAGCTGGGATTTAGGATGCTTACAAAGTCACATCAGTTCAGTTCTGTCCACAAGCATGAATGAACACATGTTCAGTTTTTGCATGACATTCCTTGAGTTTTAAACAATTTAACATGGCAGTTGATGTAGTGTTATTGTAATGTATTGGGTTTTGTAAGATGTTTATATTTACATGGCAATTGAATCTAAACTCCAGCTTAAAACTCTATATTTATTTGTATATTTGCAAACATTGCCACTGGCAATGCCAAACAAACTGAAAAGCTTTTATATATGAACTAAATTAATTTATTCTGAAGCAAAGTTTGAAAGGAATCAAGTTTCCAAAATCAGCCACTAAATCAGATATATGTTGCTTATATTTTGAAACAAACTGAATAAACTGTATATTTATGTATAATTAATTCTTGCTCAGAGTTTTCAGGCATTGAAAACAACAAATATAATTTTAGATTCAATAGAGAGGTTGCGGCCGACATTTTCATCAGGAAAACGTGTACGTCGAATGTTCAGTGCTGCATTCCCGTAAGCCTAGAAGTTTGACAATGGAGTTTGGAACGTCAACCATGATTCCACTGACATTCCAAATGCCATTTGTCAAACTTCTAGGCTTACAGGAATGCAGCGCTGAACGTCCAACGTACATGTTTTTCCGATGAAAACGTTAGCCGCAACCTCTCTAATAATTTCAGATAATTCAGTTGTTATACCCAAAATAATATTGACATGTTCTGTTTGAAAATAGTTTCCAATAAAAGAAAAAGCCATCTATACCAATCATTGTCACTATGTATTTTATTTGTAAATTTATTTTAGTTTCTATTTATTGATGATAAATTAAGTTTTCAAGATTTTATTTTCTTGTAATAATTAGTGACATACTGTAGTGTGGATGACATAAAAATCCATAAATAAAATATATTTGTGTTCATGATAGGATTTTCAAGTACAGTGGAACCTCGGTATATGTCTGCTTTAGAATACGTCCAATTCGGAATACGTCCTGTTTGGACGAAACAAATTTTGCTCGGTATACGACTTAATTATATGTGCCATCTATCAACAAGTAGCACTATTGGTGTACTACACTAGATTAGACATTCGTGGTGCTACGGTTTATAACTTTGTTAAATTTCTTCTGATTTTAATTTGTAAGTAACATTTTATTATTTTTATTAATCATGAATTGCAAAAGGGCAACAGAAAAAGTAAAAAAATGACTAGAATCGCAACGGAACTGAAAAAAGAGATTGTTGAGAAATATGAAGTTGGCATGCGTGTTCGAGATTTAACTGTTGCATACCGTATTCCGAGAACGACGATATCGACAGTCGTGAAAAATAAAAACATTATTAAATTTGCTAACGTTGCAAAAGGGGTTAAATCAATTTCTAAACAGAGATCAAAGACATTAGATCATGTACAGAAATTGCTTTTGCTTTGGATAACTGAAAAACAGTGTGCCGGCAACAGTGTATCGGAAGAAATTATTATACGTCCTATTCGGTATAAGTCCAAACACCAGGAACGGATTAAGGTCGTATATAATGTTGCATCCAAATATGATTTTCCTTCAGAATATTACGACGACATGTGAGATTTTTATTTTAGATCATTTCTGAAATAAAATTTTTTTGTAGTTATTGATAATATGAATTATGCCAACAGTGTGGCTGTCCGTATTAATTTCTTAGTTTTTTAATGGAAGTGCGAGAGATGTGATATATGGGATTTATTTCATCTCGATAAGGATGTTTCTGAATTTTGTGGAAACATTGGCTATCTAAAATAATAATATAGGTGATTGGATAAACAACATATGAAATGAAATTAAATATCTGTAATATTTTATAAAATGAAGGCAAATAATATGAGAAACAGACTTTCAAAGACATATCAATTTTCTATATTGTTTTTATATATTGAGAAAACAATGTGTTCTTTCTGAATAATTTTGAAATTCAAAGCATGATATTACATAAAAGTTTAAATATAACATTAAAATGTATCATTTTTAGCATGGTAATATATTAAAATATAATTTTATAANAGTAACTTATATAAAAACAGACTTGACTGCCGTCAGGAAGAGAGAGATTTATTCTAATATACAACTTAATGGTAAGCCATTTGTAAGGATTCAAGAAGAAATTTTTGTCCTCCTCTTTAATAATTTTTTCTGTGAACTGAACATTTTCAGGAAAACCACCATTCTATTTTCTGTTATTTTCTCTTCCTAGTATTTGATTGTAATAATTTTCTTTTTCATATAGTCAAAATTTTTTTGTGGATTATTAATATAATTTAAATTCAAAATTTTTTTTTACTGTGTAATTGCTATTAATATCAACATGCATAATAATAATATTAACATAAAGTGGTGCACCCATGGAGGCCAAGACCATAAAGTTGGGTTACCCTGGCTATCTCCAAAGAAAAAGAAAAACAAACAGTAGAAAATTTTCTAAAAATCTTTATCTTATTAAAATTCATTTTTTTATTTATATTCTGTGGTGTATTCTATTTCTATACTAATTATGGATTAGTACAGTGGCATGCCGTCATTAGAAGCGGTGGAAGCGCCGCTTCCCTTGTGTTTTATAAAAAATAAATACATATTAATTTTAATTATATGAAAATAATCGCACAATATTTTATTATAACTGCATTATGTATCTTATTACAAATTTCTATACTACACGTGAAAAAAAATTAAGATTGCTATTGTATTTTTGAATATTAGTGGCGGAGTGGAATCTCTGTATTGTCAGATTCCAAAAAGCCAGATTTGCGCATGCGCTTTACAGAGCACCAACCTCACCCGGTTTAGCTGGTGGAAGCCTACGACCTTGGGTTGATGCTTGGGTCGATAACGCTTCCAATTCTATCTGGGACCAGTTCTGGGCTGTTAGCCACCCGCCCACTAGATATTTGGCCGATTACGTGAATAACGAGTAGATTTATAACTTAACCCAATCGATAAGAATTTACTGGTATGTTTTTACGATAGTTCTGTATAGTTGACAGGAGTTTAAAAAATCCATTAAAATATTTGATATTTTTATTCCACTTTCCGATTTTATATTACTCACAGATGTCGATGTTAAACCGGTGATATTAGGATTTCGTATATCCCATCTTTAAGGGGATGTAGAAAAAAATGTGTATAATTCTTGTATAATGTTAAAAAATTAACCGTTACTTCGACAGCGTCATTTACAACTAAATTTAATGAATGAGAGAGACGCACGAGATACAGAAAAAGCTCTATAATTTATTTTCCTTAAATTTAGGATTTATGTATCCATTTGTCATAAAAATTTGTCTTTCCACTTTTTTCCCGAGACTACAAATATTCAAGTACAAAGTAACTGGTTTCGACTTATTTCTACTTAAGAAGTAGTTAAATAATTAAGCGATTAGGGAATTGGGAACGTAAACAAAACCCTGACGAAAGAGCCAGAATATTACTTAAACAAAAGCTTAACCGAACCAATCTATAGCCGAGTACAGTGGGGACTGATTTCTTCTAATACTGTGTTAGATGTAATAAAGACAGAAATTTTTCCAGTTCGATGAGAGTGACCGAAAATTTGTAAATTTTTGAAATTTCTGAGGATACTTGGTGCTAAAACGAATTAGTTAGAAAACAAATGACTATTAAGTTTAACATATTTAGACTTTTACAGCTATGGTGAGAAACGTTTAAAATTTACAAGAACCCTGTCGCGTCTTTTGAGGTATATTAGTGATGCGACAAAAGAAACATTTGACATTGCCAAATCCCGAGGGTATCGGCACCCTCGGGATTTGGCAGCCCGCGTGCATGTACAG